AGTGAATTTCAAATAATTTGTGGAGATTTTAACCTGGTTTTGAATCCAGATACTGATTACTATAATTATTCACTAATAAGTGTCTTAAATATGATAAAAGAAAACGGCTATGTAGACCCATATAGAGAACTATATGGGAATGTGTCTAATTTCACTTGGCGAAAAAGAAATCCAGTTAAACAAGCCAGGCTGGATTTTTTTCTCACCTCAGATAATTTAGTTCCAAATCTGGTCTCAGTTAGCACTCTACTTAGTTATAGATCAGATCACTCACCAATTAAACTTCAAGTAAAATTTGACAGTTTTAAGCGAGGAAGAGGACTTTGGAAATTTAATAATTCCCTCCTATATGACATGACCTATGTCGAAAAAATTAATGAATCCATACGAGATTTTAAAAAAGAATATTGCATTCCTATATATAATCTTGAAAATGTTGACAACATTCCTGACCAGGAATTGCAGTTTATGGTGAATGATCAGATGTTTCTAGAACTTTTGCTTTTACGTTTAAGAGGAACGACTATTTCGTATGCATGTTTCAAAAAGAAAAAATTACAAGAGGTAGAAAAAGGGCTTATGAAAGAAATAGAACAATTAACAGAAGATTATGAAAATTGTGATGCCCGTCTTCAACTAGAATTAGAAAGGAAAAAACAACAGTTAGTTGAGATGAGAAGTGCAAGGTTAAAAGGTAGTATTATTAGATCACGCGTGAAATGGTTAACTGAGGGAGAAAAATCCACAAAATAATTTTTTAGCCTTGAAAAAAGAAGATTTACAGAAAAAATTATTCCCCGACTACAGATTGGTGAAAATGAATATATTACTGAACAGAATGAAATTTTAAAAGAAACAAAAAAGTTTTACGAAAAATTGTACTCAGAAAATACACAGGGTGCTAATATTGATTGGCAAACAAATTTAAAAGATTTTAACGTACCAAAACTGACTACAGATGAGAGGGAAAGCCTAGAAGGTCCAATAACTAATGTTGAAGCCAAGACATTCCTCACAAAAATTAGAAGTGATAAAAGTCCAGGTTCGGACGGATTTACTGTGGAATTCTTAAAGTTTTTTTGGGCGAAAGTAGGGACCTTTGTCATACGATCTTTAAATTATGGTCTTACACATGGGCAGCTCTCTGTCACCCAAAGGGAGGGAATCATAACATGCATTCCGAAGGAGGATAGACCAAAACAATTTTTAAAAAATTGGCGCCCTATTACACTATTGAATACCGTTTACAAGATTGCCTCAGGTGTCGTATCAAGTAGAATAAAAACGGTATTGGATAAACTGATAAGTAAAGAACAGACTGGTTTCTTAAAAGGGAGATACATAGGGGAAAATACTCGTTTAATCTATGATCTCATGCAATATACTGAGGAAAACCATGTACCTGGAATATTACTTCTAATAGATTTTGAGAAGGCATTCGATAGTATATCATGGGACTTTCTAAATCAAGTTCTTATTTTCTTTAATTTCGGTCCAGACATAATAAATTACATTAAAACCTTTTATAAAAACATTACGGTAATGTGCCATGAATTTCGAACAGTAGAAAATAATTAAATTTGGGAAAAGATCGTTCTGGCCGAAATTCATGAAAAGGAGGTGCTCAGAACATCCGAAAGTTCGAATTTCATGGAATTCTGTCAATTTTGACCAGAAATTGTCTGTTCGTCGCTAGGCCTTCTGTTATCTTCTCCCGACGATCTATTTAGAATTACCATGATGTATGATTGTGTGAGTGTCGGTAATTGCGACCAAAGGTATACACGTACTTTCACCCGATCACTGTGTATGGCCCATAGATAGAGCGGTGCTGTTGTTTAAGGCCGCAAAACAGCATCGTTATCAGTAGTGTCGTTTTTCAAAAGCGATTCTGGCAGCCAGAAACTAGTGTCGTTTTTCAAAAACGATCCTGGCGCTCAGAACGGGAGTGGACGGAGGGAGAGACGGCCGACGATTAGCGTCTGCCACGGCCAGATAACCTTTACTATGGAAGCTTAGTGTTACCGTTGCTCCTTTCCGTGCACTGAAACTGAGACGACAGCCGATCAGTGTCTATGGCGCACGTGCAGGTAGCCTTCATCTGC